TCCATGTCAGCACATGTGGTATCAGGACAATCACCATAGAGCTCTTCTTCAACAAGGTGAATCTCTGCGTCTTCATCGTCCTCATTTGGTTCTGCCTCTACCTCTGCATCATCATCATCATCATCATCATCGTCATTGCTATTGTCAGCATTTTCAGCCTCATCACCATCAGTGTCATGATCATCGTTGTAATCATTATCTGATGGTTGCGGTTTCCGTGTATACTCCTTACGCCGTCTCATCTTCACAAGTTGATGTTGCTCGACAATCATATAGTAAAACTTGTGGGTGATCTCCAAACAACCTTCGCCCTGTGTGTGCAGCCGAAGCTTGGTAACTTGCAAATCCACAGTTTTTTGGTTGTTTTTGTTGATATGTTTTTCCAAGTCTTCAAACACACATGCAATGGCCCGGACAGAACTAATGAAAGTTAGTCTTGAAGGCAATAGCAAAGCAGTATTTGTCGTGAGATCAACTTGCTCACCCCTGTTGATGTTGTTGTCGTTCTTGATCTTGCAACACTTCGGTTCCAACAAAACTGCTTGGCATGTTCGTCCTGAAAATTCACAAACCAAATAGGTCGATGAATATGTTGGGTGGACAATCGAGAAGCCAAGCGCTAATGTCGAATCCGCTTTCTCAAGATCACAAAGAGCCCTCATCAACTCAGAATTGTATTTGACTGCCCACCTCTCTGAAGCACTCAGTTTTGAACTTGGATCAATAACGGCAGGATCGTATGACATCATGTCATTCACTGGTGAAGGCGGTGACCATCTCAAAGCATCGTTCATGATTTCCTTTTCACATCCCTGATACAATGGTGATACATTGGCCAATGACGCAGCTATTGATTTCAAATCTTTGAAAGTACGACTCCCACATGCAGCCAGTGTCAAAGTCTTCCTAGCGTTTACTCTGGATGAAAGCAGTTCCAGGCTCATGTTGGTGTACGTTGATGTAGCTGTTTTGATCATGGAGTTCAATGACTCTAGCTCGCCAGCATCCAAAGACAGGTTTTGTGCGCTGATTGCCAGTATCCCATGTAGCAAAGAACTCTTTGGGAGACAACCTGAATGGGAAACATGTTTCAAATCGTCAAAGCATATCTTCCGTATCTTTCGGGTATTGTGTTCCAGCTGTTCGGGATCTGACTTCAAAAGTTTCCCTGCAATGAGTCGTTTCGCTTCCGAAGATACGTCGATGGGTCCATAGAGCAGCCCGAAAAGCGGCCACGGCCACCTGAGTGTTCGGTAATACTTACATGGTTGAAGGTCAAACTGATGGTCGGGCCGGGTTGAAGTTGAAGGTATCATCATGACATCATCATAGAATCAGAGAAAGCTTCAAATAAATTACAATGCAAATCTTTATTTACAATCTTTGTAACTTTGTATGCAAACATGATTGGCTCTCCAATGACTGAGTGAATAAAGGTCCTTGCATGTATCAGCAGGAAGTTACAAGATGATGGTCAACGACGGTCAGTCGACGGTCGACAAAGCAAGAGGTTGTTCGACTACTAACTGCCTCCACTAGCTCTCAAAATTGGTTTGTCGGACAAAACACACATATATAGTCACATACACATGTCCATACTAGAACTGAAAACTTTCACACGATATAATGTGTATTCGTGCATCTTAGTGTGTATCCCAAGCTTCCAAACTGAGTGTAGCTGGGCTTTGCACCGTCTGTATACTCGCGAGACTCGTCGATCAAATGCTGCTGCGTTGTTCAGGAGCAATGATATCGCGATACAACAGAGGATAGTCTTGCATGTCCCACTTCCCTCTGATTGGAAAGTGTCCGATAATGACAAACCAGGGTTGCCTTGAAAGCTCATGAACTGAAATGCCATGGTGGTCCAATGTTCAACTGAAGCAGCCAAGTTGTTGAACTCTGTCATAACAACATCGATTCGGTTTGCCACCAGTTCAACAATGTGCAGTCGGGTGGATGTTGACTTGACACATAGAAACCTGTAGAAGTGAAGGAGCGGTCCACGAGTGTAGTTGGAAGTCCAAAGAATAAACCAATAGTCTGGATCTGACACACACATCAGTGAGTTCTTGATGTATCTTGAAATTTTCATTTTGTAGTGTTTGCTCTCGTCCACTGCAAGCTCATCCAGTGGATCAACACTTGTTTGTTCAGCTTCACTGTTTGTCCGGGCAACAAACTTGTCAGTGAAGTTCCTCGGAACACGTCCCGTACATTGGATGCACCTGTGGCGATGAAGAAACTCTCAGCACCTCATGTGGCAGCAAGGCGATAGGACATGATTAACTTGAGTTCATCATCACACGAAGATACAGAAAGTTGTTCCTAGATTCATGTTGATTAATTAGGCTTCAGCACCGGGATTGCATGGTTTATGTGGAGAGGATTCGCTTTATTGGTGTCTGTGCGTCAGTGCAGCGTAATGATTACAAGTTTTATGGCAGGTGTATGGCCGTTGCCAATGATAAGGTAATGGTTCATTGTTTCAACTTTTCAACTCAGACTCAACAACACGCATGTTCAGATCTTATGATCTTATGAGGTTGAGCTGGTTGAAGCCAGAAACCCCCAAAAAATACTAACCCACTATTGATACAACATGTGTATTGTATGGGTCAGGACACTGTCAATACTTGCCCATCTGCCAGCAATTGCTAGTGGTGGAGTGTTGAACTCAGCCTTCTGCTTGCCAAGGCCGAGACCGATGTCACTCGCATGCTGTTCGCGCCACACTGCTCGGAGCTTGGCAAGATGTCCACGCTATGTGTGACATATGGTGGCTACCGATGAAAAGTACTTGTACTTCTTTCGCAACCGTCTCAACCACAAGTCACACAAACGAAGTTGTGATTGAACAGAAAGATGAAACTGATGTTTGAGACACAAACCACTGAAGAAAAACATTGGCAATTCTGTGTATTCACTGGCAAAGAGTGTGTGAATAGAATTACGCATTCCACGTTGATCTGGACCATCATCACCCACGGATAAGAACACGTGAACATATCCTTCAGGTACTCGGTGCTGCCTCATGCGGGCAGCTCACGGGGTAAACAACCTTGAAAGTGGTTTAGGCTCAGAGTTCGCCTACAATCAAGAACTATACCATCAAACGACAGCACGCACAGGACAAACATATAACATAACAAGACTAACAGTTACTGCTTTGAGATAGGATAAACTTCAGTTAGTTCAAGCATTCACACCAATGAAACGACAAACCTTGTGGTGCCATGATATCCCACCAAGATCTAACCAAGTCAAACAATGTTGGTTTAATAGATGAGCATATCATGACACCCAGTCCAAACCTGATTGACAAAGAGTATTCGGTGCCATGGAAAGACTCTTGAGTTGTATAGGGGCCAAACAAAATAACTACACCCCCGCATTAGCCTCAGGTGCCAATGATTATGATTATACACGGCTGATCAGATACATAACGTCATGATGTCATAGCGTGTCTAAGTTGACTGTTCATTGAGTCTCTGATGTGTTGAATTTATTGTTGAATGCCGCTGATTTTGCTGATTATGAGGTTCATTTTCATATACATTATATTCCCTGATCTCTGACCCATCCCTATCTAGCCTATCTATAATCTTCACCCAAAGGTACTTGAATGCATCAGCCATGTCTTCCCATGTAGCAATGCCCAAACGTGCCAGTTGTTTCTTCACAATAGCCATGTTCCCAGCTGCCGTACCAAAAGCTGTTACTTGCAAGTCTGACCTTATGACATGAATCAGCTGAGGTCGGAGGTGGCAAAAGGTGGAAGTCAGTGACCGACGGGCTGTTTGCTTGGGTTCACTTCATTACGGCACCCGCACCTCCAGCAGTAGCCACTGATTATACACATAGAAACCAAAACACGAGTCTAGTCAAAACCAACCCTATTTATTATGAAAGAAGATTTGAAGTTTGGTTTATCCCATAAGTTTGGTTTATCCCATACAATGGCCAAACCATTTGAACCTGGTAGTGGGATTTGTTTTTTTCAATGGATACATAGACGAGAAACCAAGAGCTCAAGAACTGTAAGAACAAAAGGGCCATTGATACAACCAAATAGCCTGAGACTGTACGTTTCATTATGTTGGAAAAATCTCATAACCTTAGAGCCTCGTATCGATAGACATAGACTTGACAGTGGTAATGGTAACAGGACATACAGACACATGGGGTAATTGTACGGGATGACCCATACACTATGTTAGTATGCTCATGATTCATGTAATTGTCTCCAAACTTCAAAGATGTTTGGTGAAAGGTTGCAACATTTGACCACTGTTGTTTGGTTTACAACTGTCATAACAAAAAACGAAAGCCACCGAGACACTCAGTCCCACCCATTCTAGTTGATGTCAAGTTACATCGCTTTCAGTCTCTTGAAGGCTTTGTCATAAACACATCCAGACAAGTGTTCGTGATTAACCATGATAGCAGAAATGGTCAGCAATCCCTGAAGTTTCTGACGTTGCCATATGCTACTGTTCGTAGCATCTCCGCAAAACGAACTGCAGCCAAGCGCAAATGAACTCGTCCTGTCAGATTCGCAGCTCATCAGTGGTGAAGCCTTGCTGTGCATGTCATGATCTGGCAAACCCAGGTCACGACACATGGCTGAATCATGTGGAGTGAATACAGTCAAAGGAAAAGCGTCCGGCGTGTTGTTCATACCCACAACGGAATATGGTTGCGGCTGCGGCTGTGATTCATTCAGAGTTGGACATCCAGGGTCTTCGAATGGAACCAGAGCACGCTCTTCACATTGGTTGGACTGTGTTTGGTTTCTGGCCCCGCCCACATCCCCAGCCCCTGCAGCGCTGGCAGTGCGATTGTTCCTCTGTGTTGTTGCAATGTATTGCAGCATGCATCTCAGAAGTCGGTTGAACAAAACTGATCTTGCAATGAGAAATGCATCCACAAGAACTTCACATCGTGTTACAGTGTTTCTTGAAGTATCCAACAATGCAGCATGAGGAAACATTGTTGCACTAGCGATAGCCATAGCTTTCCTCAATCCCAATGAAATAGACCCTCTCCAAGATAGTTTTCGTACTCTACCTCGAAAAACGTCCAAATCTTCAAGCTGTGGGTTTTTAAGGATGGAATACTTGTCCTTCAACTTTTGATGTGTGCTTTCAAGTCGTCTCAAACGTTGTTTGTCAGACTTCAATCGTTTCCGACATTCTTTGAGTTGTTCATCCTTTGTTCTAAGCTGAGCTGCCTGGCGACTTGCAAAGGTCACCAACTCCGCATGCGTCATATTTTTCAGAACATTCATGTGGATATCCTCACGTGGAATCGGAACTGGAACTTTATTCCCCGGCTGACTTTCGTGAAGTACAAGATCCAAACGTTGTGCAGGTTCCTTTGTGGGCCAAACAAGTTTCATACTAATGCCACCATAGTTGTCATCATCACGTAGATCACCCCTGTCACCACTTGGAGTTGTATCTTCGAACAAATCATCAGAGTAAATCGAATCGAGGCCAATGTCAGATGAACTGAACGCACGACTGATTGAAGAAGAAGAAGCAGCAGAAGAATCACCAATTTGGTCAAATGGTCGTTTCAACTGTATCGGAATACGTTGGTTTGACATACGTGAAGATAATTCTCCTCTGACCATGGTATCCCAGTCATACTGTTGTGGTAGAAGTCCATGTAAACACAATCCGGCCAAACTCAGAATTCTATCCAAGTAGGCCAAGTTGTAGCAGACCGGGTTCATTCCCAAATCCATCTCGGCCTCATGAGCACAAACGTGGAACAGATAGGTATGATATATACATATATATATACATAACTATTCAAGGTGCATCATTGAGACGTCATTGTGTTTGTACATATTCACTCATTGCTGGTGCAATGATGCCACTGCTGAAACAGTCACAAAAAATGTTCACAAAAGCTCGCATGACTCACATACTGTGTCAGACAACAATATGTTACATGTCGGGGCTCATCATGCGACCGCCATTCATCATTCATCAAGTGTCAGTTGTCTAACATACACAGTGACCCGCACCACAACTGTCCACAACAGAAAACGATTGATTGATGTTCAAAACCATCTATCAAATAGATATGAGATGCCAAACCATGTGTGCATACGCTGTTCCATCTATGTGTATGCACAATATCACATGTTACATGAGCACACATATGTAAGCAATCAATCAATAAAAAATGATTCAAACCCATGCTGGTACAATATATATATATATAATATTATATGTATATACACATGTAAAATGTAAAATACATATGTATTTTGTATTTACGAAGCAGATCTACAGGGTCCATCTCTGATGCCTTACTTGATTCGGATGTACACGATAACAATTTCAAATTCTAGGTGCGTATATACATATACATGGTTTCTGTGTCCGATGTATGTCAGATGTACAAATACTGTCTACATGGTCCTGACTGTTTTGCATACGGCATACTGTGTGATGCAATGACACTGGAATACATGAAAGCTATCAAATCTTGTGTGTATGTATGGTGGTCATTTGTCATGAACCAAAACTAAGACATGGAAACAGAAACAGTCCCTTCTATGACTTCCTACTCAAGTCGAGAGTCATCCTTGCAGTCACGAAGTGCTTTGATCAGTTTAACATCCGGAGGAAGCACCTGATTCAAAGTCAGTATCCTTAGTAAGGCATTGTTTTGGTGATGCAGTGATGTTGACATATTTGATGACTCTGGGAATTTTTGAGTTCAACAACTATGAAACATTGATCTTCACATGACATGAACAACAGAGCAAAAACAATATGAGCACTAAAGTGAAATTTGCAAACCATTATCTAAACAATAGGCGCTTTCCGTCAGGGAGGCTAGTCGAGTCGCTACTTGTGGGTATGGGAAATACTGAATAGTGAGTAGACCAACCCCTTCATACTTGGCGAGTATCCAGGCCACTCATCATAAATGCACTGGTTGCAATCAAGCGTCGCATCACGCGACACCACCAAACACCCACGATGAACACGGGCTGTTTGCAGTAATCGCTTCAGGCGCACATGTATGTTACAAGCGCGATGGGCATGCATCATGCATATGAGGAAAAGAGAAACATAAATGTATATGACCATGGGTTTGCTATATGTACCGGCTGGATATCCATCACAATATTGCCTGAGTTGGCAAAACAAATCAGCACTCATGTGCATACATTTTGATGAGAAATGTCTTTTGGAATGCCTCCCAAAAACTATAGTCGTGTTATGTTTTTGGTTTGATACATGTATGTTTTGTGAATCAGTTCATTGCTTTTGGAGCTCAGATCTTGGTAATGGTAAGGGAAAACATGTTAATGTTGATCTTTCTTTCGAGCCTCATCACTTCCAAAAAAATCAAAAACATACATACAAACATCCCAAAAAAACTACTTATGACTCAAAAAAAAGGAACACATGTTGTTTTCAGATGTATGCAATCCCAAAAAACCAAAGCCGCATATGATAAAACTCCTCCTCCAGTGTGTATAAACTATAGCAAGGGAGCTATCAAAACCTATCCCTAGGCCACATGTGCATACCTCACTTGCAACCTGGATTTGAACATACTTAGCAGTGCGCCAATTTATAAGCTCTTTTGTGGACAGAAAAGGCGCAACAAGCTGCACCGCAAGCCTGCCCATTTCTGCTTGGACATCCCAACATGGGTAAGCAAGGATGGTGGTCACATCTTGATGTTCATTGGACATGTCGTTGTTCAGACACGTGCCAAAATCAATCTCCAACCGCCTTCTAGAACTGAAATTGGGGCGGCTACCGCCTCCTTCATCCTGCTTCACCTTCAAGGTTTCCTTGCCCAGGTCGAGAGCTGCAAGTTGGAGAGCAAAGGTGCTTGGCACAAGCCTGGCTAGCGCAGCATGTTCGACATTGGAACAAAGCAAGGTGGAATCCAGGCTGCACCTTGGTGCGAACTCCAAGGGCTGGAAAAACACAAGCAACTGGCATTATGCGCCCAATCTACGAATGCGGAGTTGAACAAGGTAAGTTATAACTAGTATCATTCAGTCAAGGAATAAGTGCTGAAAGAGTGGGAGCAACATCAATACAGCTTTGTCAACTCAATAGCTGGTGGACAAACCCACCACGGAAAACACTCCAACACAAAAAAAAGAAAATGGGAAGATGCAAATCCTGCATGGATCCACGTTAGCGCATACAAACCAGCCAACCCTTGCGCGACATGGCCAAGCAACAGATCTGCCATTATCTGTCGTTGGAGTATCTGAATCGCCAGACCCACCAGCCTGCAGGACAAGTAAGCGCATGTGTGTATATGTGCATCTTTGTCTGTGTGTCTGTGCGTCTGTGCGGGTCTGCGTCTGCGCCTCGGTCCGCTCTGTGTGTGTGCATGTTGTGTGTGTGGCCCCACCCCCGTTTCTCAGAGACTTTTTCTTTGCGATGTTTCACATGAATGTACATAGTCGCGCGGGGATGCTTGGGTTCATTGTAGTCCCCAAAAGGTGCTTGTGGTTCAACAGGCTTAACAGGGATTTGTTGTTTTGCAAGAGGATACTTTTGGTCACTGTCAACATTCATGATATTACAGTACTCAGTCAAAAAGCATTCAAAGGAACATGACAACATTGATAAGATGGAAAAACATGAATCATCAAATCATCAACCATCTGGAAATGCGAAAGTTGCACGTGTGTATTCTTGTGTTTCAAAGTTGAAAAATGTTAAAATATATACTTCAAAATTAAGCGTCTTCTTCTTTTTCGGTGATTGGATAGTCATCGGGCCAGTTCATCAGGAAGATCCGCGCGGCTAATCAAATGACAGGGCCGATGCCCCATAAGCATCTACAATTTTCAAGATTTGTTCTGTAAAATTGAGCAACCCAACCCCCTCTAAACCTGTGAAACACCATGGTTGTCTATGAAATGAGGAGGTGCAAGGTTTAAAAACTAAAAGTTGAAAAAAACACATGTACCCAAAAAAAATATTGGGTTTCAACCTATGAAATGTGCGGTCCACCCTCATGTTTCCATTTTTCTTGTTGTGAATCACTTTTCAAGGGGGCTCCACCAGTGCATTCGGTAGCGGTTTCTTTCAACGGTGGTCGAACGGTACGTGTATGTCAAATAAGTAAGATATCTCAAAGACATTTTTTCAAGGGGATGCCTCATGAGTGGCTCAGCTACTCAATAATATAATTGTTTGGATGGTACTCTATTGGGAGCACCAACTTTTGGGGTCAAAAAAATAAAAGAACAAAACCCTTTCTCCACCTTTCTTTGGATAAAGCTGGTCCCTTTACTTTAGAAAGCAATATTTGCGTTAAAGCTTTAAAACGCAAGGTTTTCCAAGCAATTAGATGCCTTATTAAACCCTTTTTTAAAAAACAACACCCAGACAATTTTTCAAGGGGATGCCTCATGAGTGGCTCCGTTACTCAATAATATAATTGTTTGGATGGTACTCTATTGTGAGCACCAACTTTTGGGGTTGAAAAAAACACAAAAACCCTTTCTCCACCTTTCTTTGGGTAAAGCTGGTCCCTTTACTTTAGAAAGCAATATTTGTGTTAAAGCTTTAAAATGCAAGGTTTTCCAAATAATTAGATGCCTTATTAAACCCTTTTTAAAAAACAACACTCAGACAATTTTTCAAGGGGATGCCTCATGAGTGGCTCAGTTACTCAATAGTATAATTGTTTGGATGGTACTCTATTGTGAGCACCAACTTTCGGGGTTGAAAATAAAGAACAAAACCCTTTCTACGCCTTTCTTTGGATAAAGCTGGTCCCTTTACTTTAGAAAGCAATATTTGTGTTAAAGCTTTAAAATGCAAGGTTTTCCAAGCAATTAGATGCCTTATTAAAACCTTATTAAAAAAAAAAACAGCACCCAGCCAATTTTTCAAGGGGATACCTCATGAGTGGCTCAGTTACTCAATAATATAATTGTTTGGATGGTACTCTATTGTGAGCACACACTTTTGGGAGTGTAAAAAAAAACAAAACCCTTTCTCCACCTTTCTTTGGATAAAGCTGGTCCCTTTACTTTAGAAAGCAATATTTGCGTTAAAGCTTTAAAATGCAAGGTTTTCCAAGCAATTAGATGCCTTATTAAACCCTTTTTTAAAAAAACAACACCCAGACAATTTTTCAAGGGGATACCTCATGAGTGGCTCCGTTACTCAATAATATAATTGTTTGGATGGTACTCTATTGGGAGCACCAACTTTTGGGGTTGAAAAAAAAAACAAAACCCTTTCTCCACCTTTCTTTGGATAAAGCTGGTCCCTTTACTTTAGAAAGCAGTATTTGTGTTAAAGCTTTAAAATGCAATGTTTTCCAAGCAATTAGATGCCTTATTAAAACATTTTTAAAAAACAACACCCAGACAATTTTTCAAGGGGATACCTCATGAGTGGCTCAGTTACTCAATAATATATTTGTTTGGATGGTACTCTATTGTGAGCACCAACTTTTGGGAGTGTAAAAAAAAAACAAAATCTTTGAAATCAATGAAAAGTAAATTGAAATCAGTTGAAAGTAAATTCACATCAATTGAAAGTAAATTGAAAGTTATTTGAAATCAATTGAAAGTTATTTGAAATCAATTGAAAGTAATTTAAAAATAAATTGAAATAATTTGAAATAAATTGAAACTAATTGAAGGTGAATTGAAATCAATTGAAAGTAAATTGAAAGTAAATTGAGCGCAAATTGTAACCAATTGAAAGTAAACTAAAAATAAATTGAAAGTAAATTGAAATCAATTGAAAGTAAATTGAAATCAATTGAAAGTAAATTGAAATCAATTGAAAGTAAATTAAAACTAAATTGAAAGTAAATTGAAATCAATTGAAAGTAAATTGAAATCAATTGAAAGTAAATTGAAATCCTTACTTACGTTGATTAACAAAAAAATGTTGGGGTGGTCAAAAAAAAGTGCGAGTTATAGAGTATACTCAAATTGTTTTGGGGGGGCACACTAATCAGAGGCACACATTATTCAGTATGTTGACAAGAACATCTATTATTAACATTACTAAATATATGGATACTGTGTTTATTAGTTACATGTGTATACATATGCATATATATATATACAATGTGCACCCCCTGGTTGAAGTTGGTTTATTTATCAACAACATTAACTATAATTGTATGTATATATATATACACCATATACCATCATATACCATGATATACCATAGTTATTGGAGTTATGTTCACCAACTTCGCTATTAAAAAACCGGGGATCCACATTGTATTTACAATTCTAGTCCATGATCTCATCGTATATAGGGAGCTACTGCCCCTTGCCGCTGGTCACCTCCTCTTCTTGCATCGGCCTCTGGTGTGGAAGCACCTGCGCTGGGCTGATTGAGCCAGCAAACATGTCTGAAAATGCTGATTTAACCATCAAGCATATGGGAAAGAAGATGAATAATGACTATTTCACCAGCAAACATGGAGATTAGGCAAGAACAATGATGACTGAAACATTGAAATCGAGCAAAGTGGGGCTGTGACCTTCATATTTCTGGTCAAATCTCGACTGATTTAAAGGAACAAAAACACAGGACATCCATTGTTTCAGAATCCAAATGCTGGGGGGTTCCCGCGATAATTCTGTCCAAGTACTTCTCTGGCTTTCCAATTTGGAGGTGGAACCAGAAGCCGTACAAAGCAGCACAACTCTCTACTTTAACATCTGTCTCATCAATATAAACGAGCATCCTCATTGTACCCTCTGGTAAACTAACATAGCTAAGGAAAATCACAATTTTTAATAGGTAAATCAACTATAAATGACCATTTTCAATAGCTATGTTAAATTACCAAAGGGTACCAAGCTCCTCCTTACCATGTCATACGATGTCATCTTGGTTCATCTGAAAATTGAGTGCCCAAAAATCCACTGGTGAATCATCACAATTTCTCTTCTACGAATTGTAATTTTGGGTATTTAATTCCAGTAGTACTGCACAAGGCGGTGGCGGAAGTTTCAGAATAGAAAACCTATAGGAGACGTTGGTTGTTGTGAATCACGGATGGCAGAGCGAATCCACTGATTGACCGAAAGGTGGTTGGAGTTGTGTTTGCTGGAATGGTTGCAATGGTTGCAGTGGTCACCTCACCCACAACTGCTGGATGTAGTGTGATGTACTGCAACTGTAGTTGTAGTTGTAGCGAAGTGGAGTTGCAGTTGTGGTGTAATGTAATTAGTGTAGTGCAGTTGCAGTCATATAGTTGTAGATGTAGTTGTTTTGTAGTTGTAGTTGTAGTTGTAGTTGTTGTAGTTGTAGTTGTTGTTGTAGTTGTAGCTGTAGTTGTTGTGTGGTTGTAGTTGTTGTGTAGTGTAGTAGTAGCAGTAGTAGTGGTAGTAGTAGTAGTAGTAGTTGTTGTTGTTGTAGTTGTTGTAGTTGTAGTTGTTGTTGTTGCTGTAGTAGTAGTAGTAGTAGTAGTAGTAGTAGTAGTAGTAGTAGTTGTTGTTGTTGTAGCTGTAGTTGTTGTAGTTGTAGTTCTAGTTGTAGTTGTTGCGTAGTTGTAGTTGTAGTTGTAGTTGTAGTTGTAGTTGTTGTTGTTGCTGTTGTTGTTGCTGTTGTTGTTGTAGTAGTTGTTGTAGTTGTAGTTCTAGTTGTAGTTGTCGTGTAGTTGTTGTAGTTGTAGTTGTTGTAGTTGTTGTGGTTGGCGTTGTTGTTGTTGTGGTTGTGGTTGGTGTTGTTGTTGTTGTTGTTGCTGTTGCTGTTGTCGTCGAAGTTAGGGTAGTTAAGTTAGTGAAGTTAGTTAAGTTAGTCAAGTTAGTTAAGTTAATCAATGTCTACTTTTTCGACATCTTCACATCAAAAAAGGCTCAAAACCCTCAGTTTTTTACACTTTTGACTTCGAAATGTGCTTCGCGCCACAACGGCGTGCACTTTTTCGACACTTTTTCTACATCTCAACTTCCAAAAGTGGTCCGAGACCGCCAGTTTTTAACACTTTTGACTTGGAAATGTGCTTCGCGCCACAACGGCGTGCACTTTTTCGACATCTCAACTTCCAAAAGTGGTCCGACACTGAGGTGTTTTGTGCATTTTGACTTGGAAATGTGCTTCGCGCCACAACGGCGTGCACTTCTTCGACATCGCAACTTCCAAAAGTCGTCCGACGCTGAGGTGTTTTGTACTTTTTGACTTGGAAATGTGCTTCGCGCCACAACGGCGTGCAATTTTTCATCGCTCCTGTGACCAGCTGGCTCCGCACCCGCCGCTTTAGCGAGCCTACTTTTCGACCCTCCTGAGCCACAAATCATTGGAAAAACACAGTGTTTCGCGACTTTCCTACCTTTTCGCGCATCTGTATCTTCTTTCTTCCGACTCTTTCTCTTCTCATCTTCTCTCTTCTAATCTTCCTCTTCTCTCTGCCTCTCCCCTACTCTGCTTTTCATCTGTCCATATTGTCGGAAGTTTGACTTCTAAACTTCCTTCGAATAGTCTAGTGTCAAACACATCCAAATGCCATGTTCCTGCTTATGTAGATATATATATATATAATATATTGTCTGATTGTCTATATCCTATTCTATGCCCATTAGTTCACTATATTTCCCATGATACTACAGAAACGCATTTCTTTTTCTGAAAACCTCTGCGACAAAGCAGTTTGTTTCCTGCTGCATGTAGTTCCGATAATGTCTAGATCTAGTACTGTTTCCGTAGCTACTGTCGCCTGTATCTCCTACACTGCTTTCCTCCCCCCAAACTGTTTTGGGTTGCCGGTGTCATGGGAAGTTGCTTTTTCTTATTATATATTTATTCACTATATTGATAATTATATGATATATATATATACCCTCTGGTTACTTAACATAGCCATGGAAAATGATCATTTTTTAATAGGTAAATCATCATGTTTATCCTCTAAAAATGAACAATCTTCCATGGCAAATTATGGCAGGCGGCCTGGACGACTACGAGGCGAGGTGGGCGTGCGTTTTGCCGGCGGAGAGATTGGGGATCCCCAGCAAAGCTGGGTGATTCTTGGGGCAAATGTTGGTAAATATTCCAGCACCATGGAGCATATGGGGTGGTTAAAACAAATGGTTTTCATGATAGTTCTCATGATCATGATTTTTGGGATTAACCATTAACCATCAGTAACTATCATTTCAGTGGGATTTCATGTAGATTTGATGGGATTTCATGGGACACTTAAATAGCCGGGCATTTTTCATGGGAACATGGGGATTTAACCCACCCAACAATGGTGATGACTGGGGGATGCTTCACAACTCGGAAACCTCGATATGTCGAACGATGTCTCGAACTGTTGTATGAACTACGGTGATATCGGTGGTTGCGAAATCCATGAAAAACCACCAAAAGGATGGTTTAAACTTTAAACCCTATAAATAATGGGATGTTTACCATCTATCAACTGGTGATTCGGATTTCGCTGGCCCATCCACAGTAGTATGAACTGGTATGAACTATAGTTTGATGGGGTTCTAAAATTTAAAACCACAAACAGAACGAGACTGGGGACCCCACTTGTCTCGAACATCCCATGGTTTTCCACGTTTTTTTCAGATTGTGAAATCACCATGGTTGATGCTTTTCCTATCCCGGAGGCTAGTAAAACCCAGCCTTACAACCAGACAACAAGACCTTTATATATCCTCATTATATCATAATATATCATACCCTCTGGTAAACATACAAAAAAATATATAAAAACACCATTTTTAATAGGTAAATCAACTATAAATGGCAATTTTCAATAGCTATGTAACAAATTACCAGAGGGTAATTATACCCATTGGAAATCAAATGTGTCAATGAACAAAAACATTTAGTTCGATGATTCTCCCAGCTATGAAGCTCCTTCCTCGTGTATTTTCCAGCTTGCCATGTTTGATTACCGAAGGGTAACCATCATACATCCCACTTACACTCATTAAGACCCAGAATAACACATCCCAGAAAGCTTACCATTATACCAATTATACCAATAAGATTAAATTACCATTGTACCAATGATATATTCCAGTGAAACCCATTTGAATCCCATGGTTTTCCAATGATATTCCCATTCTTCGTCGACTTCGTTGGAAAACACGTTGGAAAACACGTGGGACAACACCACCCCCCTGGCCCCGTCTCCCGTCTCCCGTCCGCCGCGCACCATGTCGCCATGCCCTGGCACGAGGCCCTGCGTGAGCTGTGCAGAGGAAACGCCCGACCTCAACAAGCGGCGACCAGTGGGTTTGGAAATACCCATATGCTCCATGGAATATTGAGTATATTCTGTTGATTTTAGGAATAAACCAGCATTGTATGGAATATCCTGGTATAATGCCTTTGTATGGGATATTTACCAACACTTGCCCTAAAAATCACGCAGTTTTGTAGGTAAATATACCAGCACCATGGAGCTTATGGGATATGGATTGGTGAATAATTTGTTTCTTATAGTAATATATTTATAAGTAATTTAAAGATAATCGATACATTACATCTATTTAGATCTTATGTCATCCACCAATGAACATAAGTGGTGAATAACTTATATCAGGTCTTATGAATTAATACATTCTATGTATGTATCAATATATTGGATAATTTATGTTACTGATTCATATATGTTAATCATTGTGGGAATATAATCTGCAAATGATGGTCAAACTTGTTGTTTAATGGATTTTAATGGAATGTAATTAATGGAATTTAATAGGCTGTATTTAACAAATGGTGGTATAATATGATACACACATGTTATTCAACCATTATACCAACCAGTATATCACTCGTTGCTAAAATTTGGTGGTATAGTACTTGGTATAATGGCGGTAAAATCATGTACGATCATAACCGAATGGACGCAAAACAAGGTGAGGTAGCCAACTATCATTCTATACCGAAAAAAAAAAACGTATATCCATCAAGATATTCTCTTTGGTGGTTTCATTCCTCATTTTTCTTCATCGCCGGCTTTGTCTGAACAGCTCGGTTCCCTATAGGATGTGCGGGCCCCACGAATCGGATCCGTAGTTTATAATCCATGATCCATAATTCCATATAATCCAGCGGGGATACATAGCTGGGGCCCCCAAGATAGCTAATTTGCCTTATGAGTAAGTATGGTTTATGGTAGATATAACGAACTAGTATTCATGGGGTATATAAACAAACATCGCGTTTGGGGGCACCATCCTGTCTGGTTAGTGGTTTCAATCCCTCTGAAAAATGATGGAGTTCGTCAGTTGGGATTATGAAATTCCCAATTGAATGGAAAGTCATAAAAATTCATTGTTCCAAACCACCAATCAGCTGCACATAGCTGGGGGTATTCCCCATTTACTAAGTCGGGCCCGCGCTCGCAAAAACGGCTCCCCGAAATCAGCAGATTTCCAACCAACTCTCAGCGACTGATGACCCGGGATTTACCAAAGTTACTAACTACAGTTATATCATGTTATAGCGCCAAAAATAGCCAGTTTTAACTGGCGAAACCTCATTTACGTGATATTTCTAGAACCTTGCAGGAATTATAACACCCCATGGCCATAACTTGTGATCGAACTCCACCATGATTTCCTACCACTTGCAATATGTTCTGGTATAAGGATTTTCTTTGTTGTTTCTTTCGTTTTCATTTCGTCAGATTTTCGTCAGACTTTTCGTCGGGTGCTTTGTGGCAGAACGTTTTGCCACAAGATTTTGCCACAAATTCTTTCGTCAGAATTTCGTTAGGATTTCGTCAGAACTTGAATTGAAGCAACGAAATCTTTGACGAAATTTTGACGATTTTTTTTTGTGGCAAAATGTTGTGGCAAAACGTTTTGCCACAAGGAAAATTTCGTCAAACCCCGGCATTTTGACGAAATTTTCCTTGTGGCAAAGCGTTTTGCCACAACATTTTGCCACAACATTTTGCCACAAAAAAAAATCGTCAAAATTGCGTCAAACAATTCGTTCAAATTTCGTCAAACTTGAGTTGAAGTAACGAAATCTTTGACGAAATTTCAACGAAATTCTCACGATCATTTTTTGTGGCAAAAGGTGTGGCAAAATGGATTGCCACAAGGATTGCCACGAAATCTTCAACGAAAGCTTTAACGAACTCTCAACGACCGACTGACGTTATACCATTCCTATTGCAAATCATGAGCAGCACCAACACCAAGCCATAACTGTTAGGGGCCACAACTCTATCCCAAATTGGATGATTGGTACCCCTTTTATTCCCCATCTTCGCCAATTTTTCCTCTGTCAAATCATGCAAAAATCGCCTCAATTGTCCAATTTGTGTGTTGTTCTAGTTGCTCTTAAACTATGTTTCTCGGTACACATTAATTAATGATATCTCAACGCTTTGGTGCTTACCCTCTGGTCATCAAACATGGCAATTGAAAATAATGCCCTATAGATCAATGTTTTTATGGGACATTCATTCATGAATGATTTTAAATAAGGTCTGTTCCATTGCCACGTTTGATCACCACAGATTTAATAAGTGACTTGCCCTAGAAGATGGTATCCCCCAAACGTGATGTTTGTTTATAAACCCCATGAATACTATAGTTATATATATATACACACCATAAACCATAGTTAAGTCACTTATAAGGCAGCTTTGCTATCTTGGGGGCCCTATCCTGTATTGTTCTTTTCTTTGTGTAAGAAACTCGTCCAAACTTCCGCCGTTTTTTTTTTGCGAGTCACGGAAGTTCCGGAGGTTCTCGCTTCACAGAACCGTCGGGGTGGCGATACCTGGAGGTTCGTAGGGAAAAAAACATGGCCTATTTATACATTTTATGGTGATTTACTTTGATTAACTTGAGCATTAGTGATTTACTTGGATTATAGTGGTTTACCCTTTGGTAATTATAGTTGGACATGGCCATTTACTTGCATTTGCTTAAGGAACACCAGAAAAAACTACAGTAATAAACACAACTTAATCAGCCAAATCATCTTCTGATAAATCATTTATGTGTATGATTTACCAATTAAAACATGTGGTTTACCCTCTGGTAATTAATCTGTTGAATGGGGTCCCCTAGTCATGTTTGTTGGCTTATATATTCCATTTCTTTATATACCCGCTGGTAAACATACAGAAAACTATGGAAAATCACCATTGTTAATGGGTAAAGCAACTATTTCTCTGGCCATTTTCAATAGCAAACTGTAACAGTCATTACTAGAGGGTATCCCATACTTGAATATGATATCCTGGGATTCATCATGGGATATAATGAGCAAAGATTCGGGATGATTGTAAACAAATAAAAATATCATTGGAAATCCACCAAGAAACATTGTCACTATCATGGATATAAAAGGATATCATGGATATGTACATGTATGTATATTTATAGGATATACCAGATTCAAATGCGTTGGTTACCTCTGGAATAGTCATGGAAGCAAAAGGCTAAATTACAAAGACTATAAATATGGCTAATCCTGAATATCCTGCATATTGATCAGAAGCTGACCAACATGTAAACAATGTATAATTATATATATATATATATAAATAAATACCCATATGCGAACCTGGTGCTGGAATATTTACCAACATTTGCCTTTGCCCTAAATATAACCCAGTTTTGTAGGTAAATATATCATACATGGAGCATATGGGATATATATATATATATTTATCATAATTTATATGATATAATATTACATTATAGTAGATTATATTATGTTATATTATATTATATTATGTTATATTATATTATATTAACTTATATTAAATTATGTTATGTTATATTATATTATATTATATTATGTTATATTATATGACATTATATTATAATATATTATATTATATTATATTATATTATGTATTATTATATTATATTATATTATATTATATTATGTTTTATTATATTATATTATATTATATTATATTATATTTTATTATTATAATATATATATATATATCCCTTTCATGGCAACACGCTAAAGTACGAGTATCTTGTCCATCCAAGGTTGACCAACATTGATCATCGATCGACAACCCACAGATTGGTCTTCCTAAGCTCGCCACGGCGTTACCGTGGCTATGCTAGCTGCTATGCATGTTGATATCAACATGCACCAGGAAGAATAGATGTTGATAATTGATGATGTCCATTGATGATGTCCATCCCATCTTTGGCTACGTCATGGCTTAGCCGCTAAAGCCATCTTTAGCCATTTTAGCCATATGGGTCTGTCAACAGGATACTCCCCATGGGCAGTTTCAGTGATGAACATTATCTGGTTGGTGGTTGACCTACCCCTCTGAAAAATGATGGAGTTCGTCAGTTGGGTTGGGATGATGAAATTCCCAACTGAATGGAAAGTCATAAAAGTCATGTTCCAAACCACCAACCAGTTATGATAAACGATCAACATTTGGATAAATATTTATGGACAATTTGGGATTATCCCATTTTCAGACCAAATCATATCCCACGCACAGTGGGCGAAGTTCTTTTGCAAGTACAATAGCCGTTGGGTTCATGGGAATTGGAACCAGGTAAAATTGCCTTCAATGCCTTCCACTAAAATAGCCGTTGGGTTCATGGGGCACATTCTTCAATGCCTTCCACTAAAATTGGAACCGCCGAAAAGTGTGAAACCAGGTACTCACCAATGACATCGTTTCCCCATCTTTTTCATCAATTTTCCTAATTTTGGCAACCGCCCTAATAACTGGTCGTCAGGGAACATTAAAACCTGTCCCGAAGGCGGCGCGCCATAGGGGTTCTTGACCTCACGGCGGGATCGACGGTCCCATGGCCATGGGAGAACTGCAACTGGTTGGGAAAAAAAAATTCAATGCGGTTTTGTGAGCAAAAAAAACATAAAAAGTTGAGGGTTATCCCATTTAAGAGTTGGCTGACTACGATTACTAAACAGTTACTACAAGGTGGTGCCCCATAGTTAGCTAAGTCAGCTAAGTTGGTTTATAAGTCCAATAACCAGGGTTTATAGGGGTTATATCTATAGTTAATGGGGATTATAAACCAACTTATAACTGAGGGGGCACCACCTTGTAGGAGTATCCACCAGTAATATTCAGTAAACGAAGTAGCCATTTCTGGAGATTTGAAGCTTCAATGGGCAAGACAGTGTTGTGATATATGATATATAGTAATTCATCTGCAAGCGAGGCATGTTCCAGCCGTGAAGTTTCAGTAGTTCCAGCTATGAGGCCAGCACCCAGTGGTGAACCCTATAGCTGGAAACGATCATCGTCTGCTATGGAAAGAAGCGTGATTCATTTGAAACCAAGGACCAGTGAATAATCTCATCAACCACATCACCCTCTGGTAAACATACAAAAAGCTATAGAAACTCACCATTTTGAATAGGTAAATCAAATATAAATGGGGTATTTTCAATAGCTATGTCAAATTGCCAGAGGGTAAACATCCCCATGCTTCAACATGGTCCCATTCATTTGTTGCTCCGCTACGACCCGGCTCACACCGCTGGTTGCTGTCCAATACGTTGAACAGAAAACTGGGGCTGTTGACTGGATCGTAGTAAATGGACCTGGAGCCCCGCGGCAGATCTATTCAAAACACTCCTTGTCTCGGTTGTCTCAAAAAACAGGGTCCCAAAAAATCATGATTTTCCCTATATCGTGCCGCTCTTGGTTGGTCAACATCTTTACCAAGCTAAGCTAGTAAAAATCCATCTGCGTTGCTTCTAGCCCCATTTCTATTCGCAACTATCACCATAGTGTGGATGGACAAGCTATCCTGCACCAGTTGGTAGATTGTGAACATTCCGTTATAATCCCATTATTTCCAAGGTTTGACAGGAAGCCCAAATATCCCAATAGGCATCCCAACTGGTGCCGGATAGCTTGTCCATCCACAGCAATTATGGGAATGGCTATGATCAAATGCCCTCTGTGCTTGGCAAACATCTCCGTTGCTTCAGCTTCACAGAATCATTTCTGGGGTCCCTAGCCATCCCAAGACAGATATGTGTTTCTTTGCAGGACAAAAACTGTTGATACATGTTGGTACCCATGTGTTTTTGTATTGTTTAGATGTGTTTCACTAGGTTTTTACAATGTTTTACCACAAAATCTACTTAATGGGCCCCCAAAAAAAAACATTATGTTGGTTGGTTTATACCCCCCATGAACTGTAGATAGATTCCCCTAATCAACTTGACAGTTATTTTTGGGTGACCTGTTCTCCCTAGAAATGATCCATCTTCACCAGGCTGAGATAATGGTTTGCAAGCCGTCTTTTTATTTAGGCTAAAGCCTGGGAACTAAATTATAGACCATACCCTAGATTTCTGGTATATGACCCTAGTTTTTTTCATTTCAGAAATGGTATGTAGATATATATATATATAATATTATAAAATATGAATATACATACATATATATATACACTACGTTCCGGTATCCGCATGGTAGAATGTAGGCAATGAAATCTGGCAGACATATGGTTTGCAGACATGGGGACACTCAGAGTCATCTTTGACGCTCAAGAGAATTGGCTCACTGCAACACTAAGCACTGCCATCTTGGGGGAACTAGGTCAGTATCGTTGAATGTTATATCCAACAAACATATCGAAAACACATGGTAACCTTTTTTTTTGGTTCTCTTAAAAAAAATGGAAACAAAAACCAACCGTTGGTGGTTTCAAACCCTCTGAAAAATATGAGTTCGTCAATTGGGATTACTATTCCCAATATGATGCGAAAGTCATCAAAATCCATGGTTCCAGTCACCACCAACCAGATATAGATCCATAATTATAGTGGATATCACAGTTCACTGGGCAAATCATACTAATTCACTATAACCATATCATAACATATCCATATCTATAACCATCATATCATCATTACTATTCCCAATATGATGGGGAAGTCATCAAAATCCATGGTTCCAGTCACCACCAGCCAAAAAATCATGCTAAAATTTCACATCATTCTTCCCCAAAGGTTTCCCCAAAGATGGTAATGACCAATGTTACCCTAGAAAAATGGATAGACTAATGGGTATTTAATGGGGATATATACTAACAATTACCGTTACCAAAGCTTGCAGCGCTCTGAACTGGGACCATCCAGGACCATCCATCGGCTGCGACGCGGGACGCTTTCCGATGAATCTTCAGCTCTTCAAAATCCACGAAGAACTGATCACCTCAAAGGATACCACGTTCGGCGGGGTGCCGTGGACACCGTGGGCGCGGCTTAAGGGAAACCGTGGGCCAATGGATACACTAAAAATGGCATAGTTCGTATAGTTAAAAAATGTTAGTTAGTAGATCTATAGCCAATCTATCCATAGTATTTACATTATTTTTATTTGGATAAGCTAGTATATAGATCATAACACGTAGCACTAAACTGTATGAAACTATATTGATAATATATAAAGGTATATCAAAGATAACTTTTTGGCTTCCTTCCAGGGCAGAACCCCTGTCTAGAAGTACAATCAACAAAACCTACTATCTCCACTCCACAACTAGTATTGTTACTTGTGTGTGACGTAGAAACCTCATTGGACATGCTCGGAAGTTTACCAACCAAACTATATATAATATCGTATCATATATCATTCTGCCACCATTTTAGTTGGTTTATTCAGTTTATCCGAAAATATCCGACTCTATGTTTTATATATTTTAGGCTGTCCAGAAGATGACCGAGGATAGTTCTCGCTGGAAAAACACATCCATATGGTGATTTTGTTTGGATGCACATTATGAACAACACAAAAATATGTTCGAAAAAATGGTACCCATTGAAGTTAAACAAAAAAACACTCCGAAATCAATCTCAAATGTATACTAGGTGTGCGAAGACCTATTTTTGTTGATTCCTGTAGGGGGACATATGCAGTTTTTCATGATCAACCAAACATGAAAGCTCATTGAACCTCAGGGAAGCGCCCCCCTCGACAGGTAAGATACAAATAGCTTCACTGGGTGGAGTTAGGTAATCAGTTTGTAAAAGGATGTAAAAGGTTATCATAATACTTAATTGGGATTTTCAGTGGTTTATAAGCCACATACTCACCACGAATTGCCAATCACATGGCATCATATGGCCCATCGAAGTAGGATAACTGGGGATTTACAACGGATACGCAAATAAATGGGTTTATTACATACCAACTGATAACTGGAAAGAGCCGAGCCCTTCCTGCAAAACGCAAAATCAAGAGTACAAAGGCGGAAAACAATGCAAAGCAATGAAATCTGGATTACCTGGAGTACTCATTGTCCCAAGTCATCTAGGTAAGTAGCAGGTTGGCACAAACCAGGATTTACGAGAAAAAACAGATTTGTTGTTCTTCGTATAACATATATACACACATAATTGTGTATATATATACTTTTATATGTATATAGGAAAATTAATCTTGTGTATCTCCTATCCAAGATGCCATTCAAACCAAAAAAAACGGCGTGAACACAGATCCAAACAGCTGGACCTGCTTGATCTTCCAT